CGCGATCCGACTGAATAGATGATTATCGAATCGGACGGACTGATTTTGTGCTGAATATCAAATGATATAGTGAACGAACATAGCAAGTGGGTCTTCGAATTGTGGCTGTAGGATACATGGTTGAAAAAGCATGATAGTGAGTCTGCACGCTTCATAATAGCCACACCACAAGCCTTGCTGCCCTTGTCATTAGCAGATCAGGACCGATGAACTTTCTGAGCCTTTGACACCGAAGCCCAGTTAAGATAATTGCATGATTAAGGAAATTGGAAGCTCTTGATGAGCTTCGCGCCATACATGAGCTTTGAACTACGAAGCTCTGATGTACAAAGTGAATCGCCCCCCCCCACATCAGTGCGGTATCTCCTGCGTTCTCACCTGTTTAAACATTTATTGTCCTGTATCGGTTACAGCACCGTAAAAGGAATTGCTCCGCGCTGAACTCACGGGTACACGTAGCTATTTTTTCTACCACTTTGTGCTTGCCTCATACTCTTATCGTTCAGGCTTCGGTTCTTAAGGCGACAAGTTCAGTCGGTGGGATGAAAAGTTTATGCTCCATCAATCAGTCTAGTTACCTATCTATATTAGTGTATTATGGCAATGAACTATGTTTATATTTAGAAACGACACTCGTGCATCCACGCTACGGTTCTGCATTGCGGATAGGTTATGATTAATCGCATAGCTAGAGCGGTTTGAGGGCATGAAATAAGTCAACTGAAGGAAGTACAAGAAAGAATAAAAAAGCAATAGAACCTGAATTAAAAATCAACGAGGTGCGTAGTTTGGTATAAATAATAATCAGCTGTTGAACTGTCGATCAGTATTCGTATCGTTGCTATCTACTTCAACAATACCGGGAGTTTTCGATCGATAATGGTCAGCTGTTCTTTTCGCGGTGTGACATAGCCGTGTCATACGCCTGTATCTGCTACTGTGTCCACCGCATTAATATGACTCCATATATTTCCCGTTTATATTCACGCTCCGATTCCATATGTGCTACGATGGAGTATCCCAGACCAGGCTTTGTCAAAACCGAGATTCTGAGTTTGAGCTCCTGTTGAGTCACTCCTTTCCTCCTTGATAAATAAGTACCATTTATTAGAAGGAAACAGAAAACTACACACAGAAGCTTGCCACACAACTGCTATAGACTGTTTACAAAACATGGCACTCCTGGCCGATTGTATGGACATGAATTTCATGGATAGTTGATGAAATGAAGGGCGCCAGAAATGATTCCATCACGAAAGTGTAAGGCAGCGCGACCTTCCAACGGTTACAAACTTTCTTACGTTTTCTTTAAAACCTGCAACAGTGACTGGGGGTGCTTATGATTTCGAGCTCAGCTTACATGAGTCATAGAAAAATACAAAGTCCATAAGAGGACTGTCAGAGGTGACAAAGTAATTTCAACTAGAAATGAACCTGTCCGTCATTTTCACACCATTAATTGTCATGATTTGCATTTAAGTATGAAGATATGCAGAGAAAGATCAGGTAGATTGAACAGACTTCGCTACGCCAGTATTCACGAAGGAACGCAAGCGTGCTTTCAATATCTACTCATGCTGTGTAGACTCTCAGTTCCATCTTTGAGTATTATGGTTCCATTGTTCTTTTCCTATTGCTTGCGGTCCTTGATAACTTATTTTTGACCTCTAGTTTCTGCCAGTCTCCGAGAAAAGGATTTCCATTCTTACCCTGTAGGTCTACCAATCATTCCCAGCCGCAGAATTGGCTGAACAGAGATTTGTGACCAATTAGCCTCTTAAGTCTTCATCTGATGCAGCTGGAGCAACCACTGCTGACTGGCTCAATCATCCATCGCACTAGCAGTTTCTGAAGGCACCGTAGAACCAGGCGTTAAGTGAATGTCATCCACCCTTGTACAAAACTCTATTCTCTGATCACATTTTCCCTTCATCTGTTGAACTCTCATACAGCCGGAAGAATGGAAGCATATCATTGTTCATAACTTCAGTTTTCAGCGTTTACAGTAGTAAAAATTATCTTTCGTTTTTAAGCAATTTTTTACCGTTGCCGCTTAACTCATTGGCATGAAAATACTACTTTTTTCTGATGAGGTCATTTTTTACCAAATCGAGCGACCTTATTATTTCACTGACGCATTAGTGCGAACGGTATTACGACCGATCGAGAATGATTCTGACCTCAGTTCACAAAAAGTTACTAATCTTTCGTTAGAAGCCTCTGACGTGGTTCATCCGAAAGAAATGTCCGAGTGACTACGTCCATTTTAACCGGTGATAAAACGCAGAGCATTCCACCATTTCCTGAAGATAGCTAGGAAAAGCATAAACACAACGATTTTAAATCCTGCCTTAATACGCAGTGACTTGTTCTATAGTTTCAGGAGTAAACTAAGTTCTGAGTAGGAAACTCGTAATAATATGAATTCGTATCAGTTCTGGCCAGTTCGTTTTACATACACTTCGCATTGTGCGTTTACTCGAATATGCCATATAGACCTGTATCACCTAAAGTATTATACCGCTTTCCAAGAAAATTAGCGGAACATATATTCCCTGAAAGATGACGCAGCCAGAATATTTTTCAAGTAACCTTTTTGTTGTTCGACTTCGACTTCCACCATTATATTTAGGTATGACAGATCTCTATATGCCTTTGAGCTAAATTGTAATGTAGAGGAATACCGGACTGAAGAGCTTTTCGTAGCCTTAGAACCGTCGTACTATATATCCTAAATCGGTCATGCTTAGTGTATAGTGAAATTTACCATCCGCACACGGATACTCTATTACATTAGCCAGTTTCTTGTCAGTTTTACAGGAACAACTTCCTTAGCTGAGGTAGGAATGGTTTTTTGAAAAGTTTCAGACCGCTTTTTGACATTAAAATAGGATGTCTATTAAATGTGACTTTTATATTTTACAGCTAGCCATTATATTAAATTAATTATAAATTTCAGGAGTACTATTTAGTTTCATCAAGTCTCATCATCTTTAATTTTCGCTCCCTGAGTAATTCAGATTTTACGCAAAGCTATTTGATATAAATTATTATTCCCTGTTCTAATAAGA